GTCCCACCCTGGCTGAGTTCACGTTTGGGTAACCCCAGAGCCCACGCTCACACCCCGAAGGGCTGCAGGGAGCACATGGGTCCCTGCACACCTTGGCACACCCCCCGTGCCCGTCCCCAGCAACACCCGTGAGCTGCCCCCCAAGCCCCCACCTCTACACCCCAACCCAGGGACACCCATCACCTCCCCTCTGGCCGCTCAGGGAGGGGACACTGTACGTGGAAGTACACTATAAATATAAGTTTTATTGATGTGTGAAATCCAACACGTACAGCTGGCATCTCAGAAAGGCTGAAACAAGCCGCAATATCTCTGCCTGCTCAACAGCTCCTGTGGCCCTCTGGACACTGGCACCTGGGCACTCTGTCCCTGCAGGGCACTTACCTGTGTGTGTGGCACAGCCCAGAGAGCCAGCAGGGCTCTGCCAGCAGCCCCACGCTTCCTCCAGAGCCCAGGGGCTCTGCCCTGCCTGGTTCCTGCCAGGCTGTGGCTGGGGGGCTGGGCAGCAGTGCCCCGGTCCTGCTTTGCAGCTTCCTCCCAGCAAGACAAAGACCCAGGCACATGCCACCCACGCGAGGCTTCCACAGCAGAATTTGGGCTGGGCGAGCAGATTCCCTCAGCCTTTGAACTGTTATCCACATCTTACTTGGGCACAGTCCCAGGAGGAAAGCTGTTCACCTCTGGTCACGTGAAGCATGGGTGGCACCAGGAGCTCCCATGGCAGAGGGGCAGGACAAACGGTGTCCACACACCGTAGGAAGGAAACACTGTTTTTTATTGCCCAATTTGAGAGAGGGGTGAAAGCCTGGGATGAGCCCCATCCCCTCTCTGCTCTAGCTCGGTCTCCCCTCCAGCAGACCCCAGCACCAGCTGGGTGAGGGTGCACTTGCTCTTTTTGTGTGGGTGACAAAGGTGGGCTGAAGATGCGTGGAGGTGAGAGGCCATAGCCCTGCTTGCCTGCCTGTGTCCACAGCACGTAGGAGGGAGAGGCAGCACCTGCCCCAGCCGTGCCTGCGGGCTGAAGGAGACAGGCTCAGGGGGCTGAAGCAGTTTTAGATGGGGTGAGGCTCGGAGGGTGCTCCCAGGGAGCTGGAGCCACGGCCTGTTCACACCCTCACCCATTCAAAGTGCATTGCAAGGGATGGCAGGGGGCAGGAGGGGAGGAGATGCGTGGGGGAAGAAACCTGCTCTCCTCCATCACACTCCTCGTGATTATCCAGACGCATTCCCTGGTGGGATTCCTCCAGCAAGTTCCTCCCCTGCTCTGATAAAGTGCATCCCCACTGCTGCAGGCCAGCTCAGCATGTGGGTGCTCCCCACGCACTCAGGGCAAGGCAAGACCTAGCCTGGGCAAAAGAACCAAGCCAAACCACCAAAGAACCAGTGTTACATGCCAAAGGGTCCTGCCACAGCCCAGCTTGGTGCCTATCTTGCCCTGAGGAGATGCCTGCTAGCCAGTGGGCTGGAGCAGCCAATTCTTGCTCCACTAAGAGCCTCCCAGAGCAGGGTGGCTGCACCTCGGCCTGCTGCCGTGCCAGGGCAGAGACAACCCCTCTTGCCCTGCTCCTGTGGGGCAGGGACCACCCGGCCAGCGGAGGGGCAATAAGTCCCGAGTGCTGGGCCCAGCCATGCCAGCCTGCAGGGCTCAGTGCAAACATGCTTGGGTCCCTTGGCATTTCTCTGTGCCTTCCACCATCCCTGGGATTGTCACCGTTGAGAGGGAAGGGGAAAAGGATGGCCCTGTTCTGGCACCTAGCTCAGTTCACTCCTCTGGCACCACAGAGGGTGGCTTTGCCTGGAGTGGGGTCTGCCAGACTCAGGCCCTCTGTGCCATGGGGTGCCCAGATCCCTCCTCCATCGTGGCCCCTTCATACCAACACATTCACTTGCTGGCTTTGCTGAGAGTGCCAACGCCCTTCTCCAGGGCACCTCTAGCACTGCCCCACAGCCCCCACTGCCCAGCACCTTTGCCCAGCTCAGGACACATCCATCCTCCACCTCCAGGGCTTGTCCTGGCCTTCTGCCCTGCAGTGGCCGCATACCTGGTCAGCTGGGACTCTGCAGCCTGAGCATTCCCTGGCACGGGAGGCTCAGGCTGTGCTGAATTGTCCTGACGATCCTGGGGGTGCTGCCAACTGCCCCCCATCCCAGACAGGCTGGTCCCAGCAGCCCCTGTGGAGCTACCTGCCTCAGCAGTCACCCTCCAGCCACATTGAGCCCGGGCAGCCCGTCCCATGGAGCGTCTCTGCAGAAGCTGGCCAGCAAAGGCTTCTGCTGCAGCATCACTGCTCAGGGGGAACGTGGGCCATGGCAGTCACGGGTGCTGCTGGTGGCCCACTCCACTCCACACATGGGCCATGACTAGTCTGTGTCCTCCTGGTCTTCTGGGAGTGGTGGTGGTGGTGGCTGCGATGGCACAGGGGTGTCCCAGGAGGCACCACGGGCTGGGTGAAGCCAGGAGTAGGATGTGATGCTGGGGATGGCAGAGCCTCCGGTGTGCAGGAAGCAGGACTCACCATGACAGCTGCCAGGGAGCAGACAGGAGGCAGGAGCTGTGCAGAGCTTCATCTTCTCCCATCTTGGGATCCATCCAGGGGAACACCCTCAGCCCAGCAGCGCACACACTGCACTCCCCGAGAGCAGGACAGAGGTGAGGCACCAGCCCCAGGGACACTGGGATGAAGAAGGGTAAGAGCCCACAGCTCCACCATCCCCCTGGGTCCTGACCCATCTATCCACCTTCTCACAGAGCAGATATGGAGACTGCTGCCCACCCAACCATGCCCCTGCTGCTGCAGTTGACAGCATCATGCCCACGGGACTGCAGCCCCCCGACCTGGCACGGCCTCATGGCAGAGCACAGCACAGGGCTGTCACTCAAGGAAGATCCACATCAGAGGGGAATTTTGGGAGGCACGGTGCTAAGCCAGACAAAAGCCCCTGGGGAAAACCTCAGTGGTCAGCTTGGGAAGGGCACATGTGGCTTCCAGACCCTCTGTGCAGGAGAGCCCCATGGGCTACAAGCTCCTCGCAGCGATGCCATCCAGGGAGGGGAAAACAAACCTTGCTGAGTGCCCAGCACCAGTGCTGCCACATCTGCTGTCCACTGGCAGGCTGGCCAGACCCTGCTGTGTGAAACAGCCCCCACGTGAGCCAGTCCAAGCGAAGAAGAGTCTCAAGCATTTTGCAGAAGTCTGGCACTTGCCCTGCAGTGCCTGCTGCTCAGAGTGTGCCAGCAGCAGCGTCTCAGACCACACTTGAACCAGGGTCCAGTCTGCCAGGATGGGGCAGAGCCACCTTCCCCATGTCTGTGCTCACTACAAAGCAGTGGGATCCCATGCACACAGGTGACCAGTGCAGTCCAGTGCCACCAGTGCCAGCACACCCACGGAGACAGGCCTGTGCTCTGTTCCCAGCACAGCAGCACGTGCAGAAGCTCTGCCAGCTCTGGGCTCAGCTCTGTTCCTTTGGAGAGCCAGCGAGGTGCTGAACTGCTTTCCCTCTGTGAGGGGTGTGGAGAGGCAGATGACTTTGGAGGAGACACCAGAGACACTTGCCCAAAGGGATCTCTTCCTGATACCAGTCACAGAGAGCAAAGCTCTTCTCGGTGCCAGGGTTGCACAACGCAAACTAAAAAGGCTCCAAGATCTCACCTGCTTTCCAGCTCTGGCACTGCTGGGACCCCTTCTGCAGGGTGTTACCCTGGGAGGTTTGCAGTGTGGGAAGTGTCCCTGAGGCTGGCATCCCCTTTCTGCATGGCTGGTGCTGAGTGAGGCTCGTCCTCCCCGTTCTGCTGAGACAGCCACAGTTGTGCCGGAGGGAGAAGGGTGAGGAGTAAGATGGTGCAAGGGAAGGGCTCAGGGCCAGCTCTTCTCCTGCAGTAGAGTCTCCAGTGATGGCAGCCCTGCTCTCCAGCCACCTGGCACTGGCAGGGTGTGGAAACCTGAATCCTCCCTGCTCCATGCAGCACTTGAAGGCACCACTGCCACTTCTCTCCGTGTTGGTTGATTTTGTCTTTTTGGCTCAGGTTCCAAAGACAGCAGAGACTGGACATGAGACTCCCTAAGGTTTGAGAATACTGCCCCATCCCCACAGAACCTGCCACATCCCCAGGTTTGAAGATGCCATCTCTGAGGATGGCATCTGAGCAGAAGTCTGAGACAAAGCCCCAAGTCCTTCTCTGCCTGCTGGCTCCCTTTCCCCTCCATGTAGACTGGGAAGCAGTGGGGTTTATGAAGAAATAAAGACAGGAAAAAAGGAGGTGGTATGAAAGAAAAAAAAAGAGGGAGGAGTTGTGCAGAAGGAAAAAGAGGATGCAGCAATTTCTGTGGCTACAGCAACAGGAAACACTAAAAGCCTTGTGCAACTTGGCCTATCACATCTTTGGGCTCTTCTTAGCTCTGACACACGTGCTGCTGGCCAGGGCGAGCTGCAGGGCTACCTGCTGCTACCCATCCATGCTCTGCCATGTCTCCTCCTGGCCCTAGCCCCAGGGCACTGCTCCCCTCCTGCCCAGAGCTCCCTCCATCCTTGCTCGGCAGGCAGCCGCCTCCCCAGGACTGTCCCTGCTGTCCTGGTCGGTTTGGTGGAGAAGGCCAGTGCTGGGCAGGGGTGACAAAAGGGGAACCAAAGCTCCGTGGGGTTTGGCAGTCCTGGAGGAGAGGGTGGCACATGCCAGGGCTGTACAAAACTTTTGCAATGAAGACTGTGTGGAAAGGTTAAAACAGTTCCGAGATGTCTCAAAACCCTTCTCGACTGAGCCAGGCCTGGCTGGCACATCCTGATGCTTCCAGCGTGGTCCACGACCTGCTGGGAGCACTGTGTCCATCTGCAGAATGTCCCTCGCAGCAGGCCAGGCCCAGGAACGGTGCTGAGGCCCCATGGCCCCTTTATCTCTCTGATATGACTTTGTACCTGAGGACCAGGTAAGCCAGGAGCCGCAGGATGATGAAGAAGATGCCCAGGATGAGGAAGTCCAGGTAGAGCTTGGCCTCCTCCACATCCAGCTCCTGAAGGATCTTGATGGGTTTTTGGAAAGGGCAGAAGTCCTCCAGGCACTCCAGGTCCTCCCTCTCCATAGAGTAGATGGTGAGAATGACACCCTCAAAGCCATACCTGGGGCAGAGCACACCACGAGAGTCACCTCATGCCCCTGGCAGCCCCATTCCCTTTCCCAGCCCACGGGAGCCCAGGGCAGGGAGCTCGTGGCCAAGGCACGGGTTCCCACCTGACATAGGAGACGTAGGAGCTCCACTGCAGGTAGGTTGGGATGGTCTTGAAGCTGACAAAGAAGCCCGAGAAGAGCAGGACAGGGATGGCAGTAACGGGTCCCACAAAGGTGGCCACCTGGGGATCAAAGGCCACTGGGTGTCTTGTTTCTGTGGCACCCTACGGGCAACACCTCCCTCCAGCCCTCCTTGTTGGGAGGAGGGTGGCAGGGGGTCCCACATCTCCACAAAGCAGCCAAAGCCGGGGCCCCATCTGACCTGTAAGGAAGTGGAAGCAGCTCCGATGAGAAGCCCAAGGGACTGGGCCACCAGGGCAGTGGCAGTGGCCAGGGCAGAGAAGAGGAGGAAGCGTGTGGCCTCGGGGGGCTGGCCCGTCATCCAGTACACGATGCTGCAGTAGGCGATGGGGCAGATCACCTGGGGAGGGGGGAGAACGTTCTGCTGGACCCTCGGCCACCCCCACCCCACAGACCCCCCCGGGGGGGATGGAGGGAGGGCCACAGGGACCCCCTGAAAGGCCAGCTGTGGGCATTGGCTCTGCCCAGGATGGCACATCAGCGTCGGGACAGCTTCCACCCAGTTGGGAGCTCACCTGGAAGGGCACATCTGCCATGGTCTTTGCCAGGTAATAGGCTTTCAGGCTGTACCAGTAGTTGAGGTGCTCTCTCAGGAATACAGACATCTCCTGGGGGACTGCATGGAAACAAGGAGCTCACAGCCAGCAGCCTGGCAGAGGCTGGTCCCGCCCCCCCCCCCCCCCGCCCCCCGGGCGCCAGTCCTGCCCTGGCACAGAGCACCAAGCAGCCTCCTGCCTGCACCCTAAACAGGGGTTCAAAATGTTCACCAGGGGAAAAAAAAATATAAATCAGTGACTGATGTGGGAGCTTGCTGCATGGAAAAGTCAGCTTGGCTGGGGGCTTTCAGGCAAGCTCTCTGAGGAAGTGAAAGAGAGGTGTCACAGCTGAAAAGGCAGCTTTGCAGACATCTTCTCAGCAAAAAAAAAAAAGACATAAAATTCCAGCAGTCTGCTTTGAGCCAGCAAGTAAATTATAGCTGAATATTAAAGGCAAAACTGCAACACACCCAAACAGAAGTTTTCCCCTTCTTCCTTTGAATTTTTTTTCCTTTCCTCTCTTATTTCTCCCCCTTTGTCCAATTCCTCTGCCGTCACCACCACCCTGCCCAGCAGAGACACCCCCCAGAGCTAGAGCACCCCCCTCTGCCCCAGGGGTTGGGAGCAGCGAGTGGGTGTTGGGGGAAGGAACTCCTTACAGGTGAGGATGGTGGGCATCAGTGCAGCAAACATGAGGAAGAGCATGGAGAAGAAGAGGAACCCAGTGTTGTTGAAGACCTTGCCCGCGTCGTTGCCGATGTGCAGGTAGAGCAGCCCGATCAGCACCCCGATGCAGATGTGGGACATGAACCTCAGGTGGGTCAGCACCTGCAAAGAGAGGGGGTACAGGTGCTCAGCGAGGCAGGGCTGCATCCCCTGAGCACCCCAAGGGAGCAGAGGACAGCCTGCCTGGTCCTCAAGGGTGAGCCTCACTCCAGCCCCCAGTGACAGACAGGGCCCAGCCTCCCCTGCCCTCACCGTGTCCCTTAGGATGCAGATAAAGGTTCTCTTGAAGAGGATGCAGAACTGAGTTGAAGTGCTGGTGGCAAACGTGTGGCTCTCGATGTGGTCCACGTCCTGCAAGAGCATAAAGGAGTCAGGGACATGGGTTAAGTTCACAACACAGGCTCCCTGCTAGGATGGCACCTAAGTGCCCCTCGTGAGCACCCCTGGTGAGAGCAGGAACTGCCAACTGCAAGCCCAGAGCTGTTGCTCAGCACAAGCAAAGGCTGTCTGAACACCTCCATGCTCCCTGCTGTGCATCACAGGGTGTTGTGAGGACTGAGGTGGCCCTGGATGGGCACCCGTGGCTCCCCATCACCCCAGGAGGCTCCTCTTCTCTCCACTCACCGTCACACAGTGTGCCGGGCACGATGGATCTGCTTTGTCAGGGCTGCCCTTCTTCTCAGCCATGGTGCACATGCCGTTCTGCACGGCACGGAACAGGACAGGGTTGAGGTCTCCATACTCCCCTGAGGCCACCTCGATAACTGTGGAAGACACCAAGACCCCTGAGATATGCAGAGCTAGCCCTTGCCATCACTTCGCTCGGCCTGCCCAGACTGTGACCTCGTGGGGCAGGAGGGTGGGAGCCCAGCACAACCCCCCCCAACTCACAACCCAGAAGACCACCACACAGCTTCCTAGGGCTTGGGCATTGGGTTTGGACTTTGCTCCTCACCAGAGCCCCAGCTGGGGCAGAGACACTCACTGAAGTCAGCAGGGTTGTGGTATGTGGGGCAGTGGAGGCCGAGACCCTTCAGGTAGGGGATGAGGTTGGTCACGACGCCTTTGAAGATGCACTGGCCCTGGCTCAGGATGTATAGCTGCAAGAAAAAACCAACCTATGGCAGGTGCAGAGCAGCCAGGGGCACTGTCACCTCCTCCTGCCCACCTCCCTGTCCTAGGGTGACCCAGGGCACCCTTGCCAGACCCCAGCCACCACGGCTGCGTGCCACACGAGCCCCGCATGCGACGCCTGCAGCCCAACCCTCCCACAGCCTCTCTGTGGAACCCCGTGTCCTAGCCCAGGCCAAACCTTGTCAAACATCTCAAAGAGCTTGGCGCTGGGCTGGTGGATGGTGCAGATGATGGTGCGCCCACCCTGAGCCAGGGACCTCATCAGGGAAACCACCTGGAAGCAGGAGGCACTGTCCAGACCGCTGCGGCCACGCAGGATGGGGGGCAGGAGAAAGAGGCAGCAGAGAGAGAAGGGGAGAGTTGAGAGGGGAAGAAGTAAACCCTAAAGATGCCCCTGCTTGCCTCCCCTCGTGGGCACCCTCCTCTCAGATCAATGGAGAAGATAATTCCCTTGCAGCCCCAGCCCTCTTGGAGCCCTGGTGGGCATAGTCTCACCCACCCCCCTCAGGTCTGGCAGCTCCAGAGGGTGCCAGCCACCCCCGGGCCC